CCTACCCCCCCTCCACCGGCAGAGTTTGGTGTCGCAGCTGGCTTTGTGGGGTGCTGGCCCACGCCCGGGAGACTCTCCATTTAATGAATACAAGAGACAAGCCAAGAAGCGCCGAGTAGACACTGACTAGGAGTAAACTATGTACATAATAGTTTTTTGCCTTTTGTTTCATAATCAATTTTATTTATATAACCCTTTTGCTGATTTTTAAAGTGTTACATAAACAGGACAGGTGAAATATTATCATGTAAAGCAACCATAAACACATGAAAAGACCTAGGTTTACAATTTTTGATTAAACCTCTACTATCTACACATTATACATAGACATAAAATGTAAAAACTTAAATATCTTAGAAACAGTAGCCAATCAGTTGGTTTAATTGTCATATTTGAATTCAGCACATCAAAATACATAATAAATAGCACATTTTATCTTTGAAGCAGACAACTTCTCAAAAATTGTAGACCAGTGTTACTTATTTTTAACCCTTGGATCCATTTTGCATGCATTTGCTGATACCAAATATTCTAGAAGCCTTAAAAACACCTTTGTGTGTAACATCTGGATCCACTCATTCAGTGGTATGGCTAGTTGAGAAATAGGGTTGATCAATCTTAATCTAATACAGAATGAGAATAGCAGTGTCACTCTGAGACTAATAATAACAGCCTTCATGATGCTGCCAGGCAATTGGGGGGGAGGAGGGAGGGAATACAACAAAAAAGAAAAGTAACCACACAACACAAGTGTTTGGATTGAGATTTTGTTTTAGTTCAGCAAAAATTGCAAAATAATTCTTTTATCAATACAGTACTTTCAAGTTCTATCAAGCTACATTATCACTGAAAGTTCTTAAGTCTTCAGTAGGTTATGAATAAATTATTAGATGGAGTCATGAATATCTTTTTCCATAAATCATTACTTCTATAATGTGTTGGTCTAACAGAAATGTTTGTATTTATATTAAATAGAAAAAAATGACATCAGGATAGCAATACTGTTTTCAACAACAAAAACATCAGATTCACAAATCAATAACTTGAATACCACTAAGGCTATGTCTACACTACACAGCTTTTAGCAACATAATGGCATATTGGACTGCATTAGTAGGAGCATTGCCAGCAGATGGAGGGAAGTAATTATTCCTCTCTATTCGGCACTGGTGAGGCCACACACTTGCGTCTAGTTTTGGGCCCCCCGCTACAGAAAGGATGTTGACAAATTGGAGAGTCCAGTGGAGGGCAATGAAAATGATTATGGGGCTGGGGCACATGACTTACAAGGGGAGAGTGAGGGAACTGGGCTTATTTAGTCTGCAGAAGAGGAGAATGAGGGGGGATTTGATAGCAGCCTTCAATTACCTGATGCGGGGTTACAAAGAGGATGGAGCCTGGCTGTTTTCAGTGGTGGCAGATGACAGAACAAGGAGCAGTGGTTTCAAGTTGCAGTGGGGGAGGTCTAGTTTGGATATTAGGAAAAACTATTTTACTAGGAGGGTAGTGAAGCACTGGAATGGGTTACCTTGGGAGGTGGTGGAATCTCCATCCTTAGGGGTTTTTAAGGCCTGGCTTGACAAAGCCCTGATTGGGATGATTTAGTTGGTGTTGGTCCTGCTTTTAGCAGGGGGTTGTACTAGATGACCTCCTGAAGTCCCTTCCAACCCTGATAGTCTATGATTCTATGACATGGCTGTGTCGCTACAGCCGTGCCGCTATAAGTCGTGCAGCGTAGCCGCTGTTTGTCGGCTCTCCTGCCAACAAAAAACTTCCACCCCCCAACGAGCGGTGTTTGCATTGTTGGCAGGAGAGCGCTGTGGCCGACAACGCACTGTTAACACTGGCGCTTCTTGTTGCTGTTTTTCAGGTTGTTTTTTTTTCCCAACACCTCTGAAAGACAAAAGTTTTGTCGTTCAATTGCCACTGTAGATATAGCCTAAGTCCCTACATATATATATATATATATGAGCAAAATTTGTTTAAATTGTTTTGATCCAAACCATTGGATTCATTTTCTCAGTGAAGCAAAATTTTCAGAAGTATGCACCAATACTGAGAGTGTCAGTATTTGAGTGTTCAGTGAAAAATGGGCCTTAGATGACTCAAGTTGGATGCTAATTTTGAGGGTCTCAATTTTCCAGTGGACAGTTTTGAAACTGTAGGGCATAGCTTATCTGTGCCTCAGTTTTCCTCATTTGCAAAATGGGAATTATAATACTTAATAAATGCAAAGTATTCATATTAAGTATTGCAGCAAATAGGATTCATAACATTGCACTGTTTTCAGGCAGCTTTCTAATCAGAATACATTTTAAGGGGTGATAGATGATTTGTGGCAGTTTTTCTTTTGGTTCTTACTGTAGTGGGATTCTAATAAGAAATGTCATTCCAGGGTTGTTGACACTGATGTTTGCTCCAAGATTCTGACAGTGATTTTTTTCTTTTGGTATTATGAAAAAAAAAAATAAAACAAAAATCTTTTTTTTCTTTTTGTTTCTTTAGGATTTTCTCTCTCTTATCTGCAATACTACACTTGGGTAACATCTGTTACAAAAAGAAAACATACCGGGATGATTCTATAGATATTTGTAACCCTGAAGTACTACCTATTGTCTCAGAATTGCTGGAGGTGAGCATTAATTTTTCTTTATACTATCTACAGTTCATCTCCTTTCCTCCTTTTTTGGTGTATCTTTCTTTTAGAAGACCACTCATTTCATATATTGTAGGGGAAAATGTCATATTGAGCTAAAACTTAATATGGGCAATTCTAGTTTTCACTTACTGATTGGCTGTAGCAATTGGCTGTTGGTCACATGTTTCCCTTTTCTTCCCATCCTTATTTTGAATATTAAGGCATCTGCATATTATTTATTCCTGTTTGGTCTGTATCACTGCCTGTGACTTTAGACATTCTGACAAGATATTAAAATACTACCCATATCAATGAAATTAAAATGATCGCATAGCAGCAGCAGGAGAGAAAGAGCCTTTGTGCAGCAGAATGTATCTCAAATCCCCAACTCTTAGTTCCATCACTAACAATTCCACCCATCTCAGCCCTACCTACGTACCCATCCAAATGGATGGGCTTTGCAGAGGGACCTGAGAGGCAAGAGATTTGGGCAGTTTGAGACCAAGGGTGAGTAAATTCCAGAGTTGAGGTACCCTCACAGAAAACACTGCCCTCTGTGTATTGCAGCTGTGTCAGTATCACATGAGGAAGGAGTCAGATAGGCTGGTCCCTAGCTATATATGATTTTTTTTAGGTCAAAACCAACATTTTAAGCCCATCTAAAAGCCATCAGGCAGCCAGAGCAGATTATGAAGCGTTGGTGTTATTTGCTCATAGTGAAATATTTAACAAATGGACCACCACATTCTTTACTTACCTTCTGTATTCAAGAGCAAAAGTCACTGTGTCCTGGCCCAAATGCAGATGGCAAAAAGCTGTCCTGGTCATTTTTGCTATTTGCTTATCTAAAAGCAGCTGGAATTCAACAAATCCCCCAAATTGCACACTTGAGTAATAGATGGGAAACTCTCACTCTAAATCAATTCATAATCTTTGTTTCCCCCCCTCTGGTTGGTCCCACAAACTACCATTATCACCCTAACTTTATCTTGATTGAACCTCAGTCAACTGATTCCCATCCTTATCTGAGTCTCACCCAAACATTGTGAAAGACTCTGTAATGCTTCCTGGATTGGATGAGATAGAAAGTTAGGTGTCATCAGCATATTGAAGGCACTTCAACCCATATCTCTGCACTGATCTAGCCTAACAGCATCATGTATGTGTTGACCAGAAGTGGTGACAGAATAGCTATTAGAGCAGACAGCTGTCCAGCACTACCTGAGAGCTCTCTCCAAGTGAAATTTCCTCAGTTAGCAGTCCTGTCCACCCCCACTAGAATGTGCAGGTGATTCACCATGTTGTGATCAAAAGCATCCGGTAGATCCAATAATATCAGCTTGGGACATGAGGGGAAAATTTTCAAAGGCACAAAGGGGTCTTACATGCTCAACTCCCATTGAAAGTCAGTGGGAGTTGGGCATTTAACTCCCTTTTGTGCCTTTCAGAATTTCCCTCTTGATCTGTATGCATCACAGAGAGGAGATAATCATCAAATGGAACAAGAATAGCATATATGCCAACCATAGCCAAGTGAGAATCCATATTCACAAGGGTCAGGGAACCTGCGACATCAAGATATTGTAAGAGTTGTCTTGCCACAAACTTTTGCATAATCTCAACCAAAAACGAGAGATTAAATATGGGTCAAGATTAATAAAAAAAAAAGACTCAGTGCTCCCTATTCCAATTTAGCATAACGTTCAAGCAGCCACAAAATATTGCATTATTTCTTCCATATTGAAGTCCACAAAGACCCTGCCACCCCTTATTATATTGCCAGAATAAGGCAAAAAGACCAATTCACCACTCTGCTTAGATGAACTGGAAATTTCACCATACCCCCCATATTTATACTCCCAGTGTAAATCAGACCCCATCTTCCAGATACTGATCACATATTCAGCTTTGCCTGAACCACACCACACAGGTAAGTTCTAAACCTCACAGTATCCCATTTATCAGACTATGCTAGTACGTTGCTTATTTGTCATGGAGGAGAAGATGAAGTTGACGTGTATAGAATGTGTTGCATCTTGTCGGTCAATAATGATTTCACAAACTTCTGACATAGTTATGAATAAATAGTGGACTAGTAAAAGGGGATGGAGTTAAAGTAGTTCTTTTCATGTGTAATGTGATATTTAACATTTATTTAAGAGATTTATGAACTTTCAGAGGATTTGAATCTTTATATATATTACCTTTCCGTATCACTGGCATACTTTTAAATATCTTAATGTGACGTTAATGATTTTACCTTTTAAAACATTTGTTACTTAATATAGCAAACTAAACTCTAAGTTTACAAAGGATTTTTTTTAGGATTTTTTTTAATGGAAACAAAATGTATATTAAAAGTATAAATTAGGCAGGAATTACACCATTTGTATGGCCCCCTGTAAATGTTAGACAGAAGTACATGAAGTGTAGGACTGGAAAGGACTTCAATAGGTCATCTAGTTCGGTCTCTTGCATTCAAGCCAGGACTACCTAATAACTAGATCATTCCTGAAAGGTGTTTACCTAACGTGTTCTTAAACACCTCCATTGATGGAGATTCCACAACCTCCCTAGGCTATTTGTTCGAGTGTTTAACTAGTCTGACAATTAGGAAGTTTTTCCTAATGTCCAACCTAAACCTCCTTTGCTGCAATTTAAGCTCATTGCTTCTTGTCCTATCCTCAGATGTTAAGAACAATTTTTCTCTCTCCTCCTTGTAAACAACCTTTTATGTACTTGAAAACTGTTATCATGTCCCCCCTCAGTCTTCACTTCTCCAAACTAAACAAACCCAATTTTTTTCAGTCTTTCTTCAGAGGTTATGTTTTTGAGACCTTTAATAATTTTTGTTGCTCTCCTCTGGACTTTCTCCGATTTGTCCACAGCTTTCCTGAAATGTGGCACCCAGAACTGGACACAATACTCTAGTTGAGGCCTTACCAGCATGGAGTAGAATGGAAGAATTACTTCTTGTGTCTTGCTTACAACGCTCCTACTAACACATCCCAGAATGATGTTAGGTTTTTTGCAACAGTGTTACACTGTTGACGCATATTTAGTTTATGATCCATTATAATCCCCAGATCCTGTTCCATAGTAGTCCTTCCTAGGCAGTCATTTCCCATTTTGAATTTGTGCAATTGATTATTTCTTCTTAAGTGGAGTACTTTTTATTTGTCCTTATTGAATTTTATCCTGTTTACTTCAGATCATTTCTCCAGTTTATCCAAATCATTTTGAATTTTAATCCCGTCCTCCAAAGCACTTGCAACCTCTCCTAGCTTGGTATTGCCTGCAAACTTGATAACTGAATTCTCTCTGCCATTCTCATATGCTAAATCATTTATGAAGATATTGAACAGAACTGGACCCAGGACTTGTGGGACCCCACTCGATATGCCCTTACTTACTCCAATATCATATTAAGATTTTTCAGGTTTTTACATTTTAAAACTTGGCAGACTAATTGTAACTGGTTATAATGTAGGATGAGTTCATGAAATTGCTTTAAATGTAAGGAGGAGATTCTCCCTCCAGCCTCAGAGTAATCACAAAAAATTTGAATCAGTCTTTTTCCTGATCTAAGAGAATGGAGGAAATTGGCCTGGTAATGGAAGCCTGATTACAACCTCAACTATGGAGATTCTCTCTCTGTTTAATCTTATTCTGTTGAAAGGAATGCCTGCCTCCCCTTGCCTCTCAAAAAAAGCCTCACAGCACATTCTCATTGGTAGAATTGACATAACTGGTACTTTCATTCATATTATTATTAATATATAAATCAGTACCAACAATAGTTTCTCTTTGAGAAAACACTCCTGTTTTTTTCCTGGCAAAAGCAGATGATATGAATTGTAACCGTAAAATTATATAGTTCTT